TTGGAATGCTTTCAAAAGTAAGATAAAATCAATCACAGTACTTTGAGAAGCTGAGGTGGGAGGATCACTTGAGTCCAGTAGTCGAAGACCACTCAGGGCAACATGGTGAGACCCTATTTCCACAAAAAAATTTTAAAAACTGGCTGGGCACCGTGGCTCACACCTGTAATCCCAGCACTTTGGGAGACCGAGGTGGGTGGATCTCTTGAGGTCAGGAGTTCGAGACTAGCCTGGCCAACATGGTAAACCCTGTTTCTACTAAAAATACAAAAATTAGCCAGGCATAGTGGCATGTGCCTGTAATCCCAGCTACTCAGGAGGCTGAGGTACGAGAATCGCTTGAACCCAGGAGATGGAGGTTGCAGTGAGCAGAGATCGCGTCACTGCACTCCAGCCTGTGTGACACAGCAAGACTCTGTATCAGAAAGAAACAAACAAACAAAAATTTTAAAAACTGGCTGGGCATGGTGCTGTTGGTGGTGTGTGTCTGTAGTTCCAGCTACTCGGAGGCTGAGGTGGGAGGATCTCTTGGGCCCAGGGGATTCAGGCTGCAGTGAGCCATGATCATACCACAGCACTCCAGCCTGTGCAATAGAGTGAGACCCTGCCTCAAAATAATAAAATAAAATGACCATAAATACTTCTCTTCTGGATTATTCAGAGTTTTTAAAAAAGTCATACAAAGGTCGGGCACGGTGGCTCACGCCTGTAATCCCAGCATTTTGGGAGGCTGAGGTAGGTGGATCACCTGAGGTCAGGAGTTTGAGACTAGCCTGGCCAACATGGTGAAATCCTATCTCTACTAAAAATACAAAATTAGTTGGGCATGGTGGCTTGTGTCTGTTAATCCCAGCTACTCGGGAGGCTGAGGCAGGAGAATCTCTTGAACCCAGGAGGCAGAGGTTGCAGTGAGATAAGATTGTATCACTGCACTCCAGCCTGGGCAAAAAGAGCAAAACTCCGTCAAAAAAAAAAAAAAAAAAAAAAAAAAGCCATACAAAAATGATCATCAGGCATTATTTCCTATATTATTTTAAGAATCTACTGTTGGAGACACTATGATAAAATTACTGCATGTAAGTTGAATACCTTCTAGCCAGGGTAAGTGGAATGTTTCATATTAACAGAGTAGGATAAAATCTCATTTAGTTGGTATCACTGGAAAAGGAGCTATTTCATAAAAATAAATTCTCTTGGTAACCAGACCTAATCTGAATTTTAAAAATATTAGTCATTTATTATTTGATTGGCATATGGCAATTTAATAATTGTTATATTTTCCTACCTTTTAAAATAAAACATACAGGATACAATCCAACACTTTCTTCATTATTTTAGTGTCTACTTCAAAACTTTATTATCTGATAACTCTAATTCTGCAATCTTGCCATTCACTTTTGGCAATGAAAAAAAACAACCCTGCCAGTATCTCTAAATGTCACAGTACTGCAGCACAGTATTATCACTGTAGGAAAGAAAAACGTTCTGAGAGGTAAAGTAACTTGTTTAAATTATACAAGGCAATGTGGCTTCCATCACCACTACTTATGGTAGACAATGGTTCTCACACTTGAGGATGCATCAAAGCCACTGGAAGACTTATTAAAACACCATTTGCTAGGCCCCAGCCCCAGAGTTTCATATTCAGTAGGTGTGGGGTGAGGCCTAATCTGTATTTCCAAGAAGTTCCAAGTAGTGCTGATCTTCCTGTTAGGGATCACACTTTGAGAACCACTGGGCTAATCCACTGGATTTCCCTTCCTTGTCTTCTCTGTAGCAAAGGATGATGATAAAACTTCGTCCTTTTTGAAGTATGATATCAATTTTTAATAACACTCCAGTTATTTAGCCAGGTTTGGGAACAACCTCTATATATTGTGTCTCCTAGGGTTCCATCCCAAGCACTCTTGTGTACTCCTTGGCCAGTGTCATTCTCTTGCCTTTGGATTCAACAATCTAAGGAAGTAGTTTTCAAAAAAGTCTAAGAACTTCAGAGTCCTTAGACTCTAAAAGAATTAAAGGTGCCAAGAAGCTTTGGGAACATGATTCTTCAACTTCCTTCCCCATTCCCTGAATTAGCTCTTCATTCTATATTCCTTGTTTCAATCGAGAGCACCTTTTAATCAGCCTAATTGCACAAATCAGAGTCAGTCTCAATTCCTCTTTCTGTATACCCTCACCATTCAATCATTAAGTTTTGTCAAACTGACCTCATAAATAGCTCTTGAGCCTGGTAATTTCTGTCTATATCCACTGCCAGAGTGTGCCTAATTCACTTGTCTGAATTCCAAAAGCCTTCCTAATGGGTTTTTGGCTTTGACCCCTCAGATCCATTCTCCACAATGCAGTTACAGTAACCTTTCTGAAATAAAATTATAATTATGCCATTCCTATTAAAAAATCCTTTAGTGCTTCCTCCTTGCTTTCAGGATAAAATTCAAACTCCTTGGCATAACTAGAGGTTCTCCATGTTCTGGTCCATTCCTCTCTTCAGCCTCATCTCTTGACTTTATCCCCTTTTATTCCTGCACTCTAGCAATGCAAACTACCTTCACATTCCAAAATACAATATATTTGCTCATGACTTCATGATGAAGTACAGTTCCTATTTCTCCTGGTTATCATACCCCCTCTTTTGGGTGGCTAATTCATAATGTGGATCAAATAACACTGTAAGAAGTTCTCCCTGCTTTCTCGTCAACCCCCCTCTTTTGGGTGGGTTACTTCCATTATTTTCAGAATGCCACATTCACGTATCTGTCACAGTCTTCATCTCATTATAATCACTGATTTATTTTTTAATCTATTTCTTCCTCCATCTGATACCATCTCCCTGCTACCTCCAGCAATTTTACACACAGTACATTCAAGAGGCAGAATGGTTGGTTTAGTGGATAAGGTACAGAACTGTTCTTGGGTTCAAGTCCCACCTCTGCCTCTTATTAGCCCTATGATGTTAGCCAAATAGCAAAAACCAGTTAAAACCACAATGCAGAAAGAGAGGAATTTATGCAATCACACTGTGATTTTGAACATATGGATTTACTTTTTTGGTCTGTCACTTCATTTGCACAACAGGTGTTGGAACAAATGATCTCCAAAACGCCTTTCAACCCTAAGAACTTATGGCTAGGATTACCATAGTATCCCGGATAGGAGATATTTTAAAGGTCTATGAGAGTTGTGCAAATATAGTATCATGAATATTGGAAACTACAGAAGTGAAGTAAATTGTCAGGTTACTTAATTGCACAGATTCGTTTCAAAGTCAAATAGGATTTTTCAGATTTGGTTTGATTTCATCTAGAAAGAATTTTTTAAAATCTGCTAAGTAGCAGTAAAAATGTAACTCCCTTTTAAAAATCTGATTTCAAGAGAAACATTTTATCATGTTACTTTTCCTGAATTATCAACTCAGGCAGTTTCAGTCCTATGTATTTATACAATATTCTATTTCTGAAGAGGAAGGTCTTACAAAGCATCCACATTGATTACTGTCTCTGTAACGTAAAGAACAGTAACTTTTGCTCACAACAGCAGGAAATAAAGCATTATGCTCAAGATAACTGCAAATAAGAGAACATTTATGACACTTTAAAAAAAGGAAAAGAAAGTCTGAACTTGAACAGTAACAGCTCATTCTTTTTCTGCTTTCAAAACCTCTTTCACCATTCAAGGCCTTGAGATAGGCAGCAAAGTATGCAGGGAAAATTTTTATATACTCCAGTGAAATTTGTAAAAAGGGGAAAACTATGCATGTAAATGTTATGACTGATTCCCTTGAATGCACCAACTAGATAGCTCTTAATTCTGAAATAATATTTTTATTCATAGCACATTTTATGTAATAGAGCATGTTTCTGATCCTTATAATAATCCTGTGAGATTGTCAGGGAAGACATTATCTCTACTTGACAGATGAAGAAACTGAGCTGTGTGAATATGCCAAGCCACAGAGTTCTGAAATGTCAGAGCTTTGACTACTAATATACCTTACTAATCTATATATCACCAGAATCCAATATTTTGTGGACACTTTATTAAACACGTGGCAAAGAAATTAAGCTAAATTTTCTGGTTTCTAGAGTCCAGTGCTCCTTTTATTAGCAGTTTTAGTAATTCTCCTCCAATTGGTAGGATAGGTTTGTAGCTGAGTCAATTAAATTACTAACCCCAAATCAAGAATGTTACTTAACTGAGGATGGGCATGGTGGCTTACGCCTGTAATCTCAGCACTTTGGGAGGCCGAGGCAGGCAGATCACCTGAGGTCAGGAGTTTGAGACCAGTCTGGCCAATATGGTGAAACCCTACCTCTACTAAAAAGTATAAAAATTAGCTGGGCATGGTGTCACGCACCTGTAATCCCAGCTACTTGGGAGGCTGAGGCAGGAGAATAACTTGAACTGGGGAGGCAGAGGTTGCAGTGACCTGAGATCGGGCCACTGCACTCCAGTCTGGGCAACAAAGCAAGACTCCATCTCAAAATAAAATAAACAAAAAAAACCAATGTTACTTAATTGAAGCAATTTAGGTAGCCAGATCTTCTGGACTGAAAACATAAGCAGAATTTTGTTAGCTACTATCTTTTCACCTACATGTTTCATAGGAATACATGTAAAATTACTTTCTTTGATAGAATAGGCAAAGAAAAATTCCTATAAACAAGCACCTATGGCCGGGCGCGGTGGCTCACGCCTGTAATCCCAGCACTTTGGGAGGCCGAGACGGGCGGATCATGAGGTCAGGAGATCGAGACCATCCTGGCTAACACGGTGAAACCCCGTCTCTACTAAAAAATACAAAAAACTAGCCGGGCGAGGTGGCGGGCGCCTGTAGTCCCAGCTACTCGGGAGGCTGAGGCAGGAGAATGGCGTAAACCTGGGAGGCGGAGCTTGCAGTGAGCTGAGATCCGGCCACTGCACTCCAGCCTGGGTGACAGAGCGAGACTCCGTCTCAAAAAACAAACAAACAAACAAACAAACAAGTACCTATTAATTACCTGTGGTGCAAGAAGAGGTAGCCTAATATAAGCCAAAAGTTTACTTAGATCTTTCCGTCTCTGTTCCAAATCATGACGGACCCAAGTAAGAAGTGCATTCAATATTGTCTCCTCATTAGGAATGTTCATGTCATCACTTGCCAAGAGCTTTGCAATTTCGCTGGCTGGTAATAATACAAATTCCTGGTTTCTGATTACTTCCATGAAATGCTCCTAGAGGGAAGAAATAGCAGATAAACAATATTGTCCCTTCTGACCATCACAATTTACTTAGAAGAAAGTAAAAGCTTTTTGTATTAGCTACCAAACCCAATTTATATTTTAGACCTTACAATGTACTACTACTTGTTAGGAAAGAAACACAGCAGAGAAAAAAAAAAATTAAACTGCAATTATGTTGTTAAACATATATAAGTAGAATTAAAGTGTTATATCACTTATTACATTTAAAAAATGGACCTGGGACATTTAAGTATTGCTTCACTCAAGTTAGGAAATACTTTTGGCAATTCTTTTGAAGGAAGAGAGAAAAAATGAATTAGACACTGAGATGTATGATACTCTAACACGAGAAGTGGTTGGATTTGTGGTTTGGATTTGTAGGTGCTGAAGAATTTGGCCAGCAGTGGAGCCAAACACCTAGAGAGCTTGGTTACTTCTCTAACTAGGAAATGGCCTCCAGGGTGGCTAGATTTTCCAGAACCTTTCTAGACCAGAGATGACTTCTCAGATCCTCCCTGGAATGAGTATTGTCCTTAGGGTTATACTACAACCATATTGGTCTTCAAGGTCGTTTTAATGATATTTATAAGACCATCTAGGATTTTGGGTCTGTTTTCAAATTTTTAATCTCTTTTAAGGGTCTGTTTTTTAATTTGTCATATGTTCTAAGTGTCTGTTTTTAAATTTTTAATCTCTTCTAATATAATTTACAAAGCTCTTTTGGTCTCATACGAAAAAGGACCAAAGGGAGGGGAAAAAAGTAGTGACCTACAATGCCCTGGGATCAGGACATTACATGACTCAGTCCTGGCCTCACGTTAGAATCAAATCCTCTATAATTGGAAATGGGAAATAAAAATGCCGTTAGGTGTGAGATGACCTTGATAGGCTATTATGCTAAATAATCAGGAGAGAAGGAAAACATACCATCTGATTTGAAAGGCTGTAAGTCTTAATGAATGGATAGTTGACATAGTTATAATATAAATGCAAATGCTAGACACATATTGTCCCTTAATGTTTTTCTCATATTTCCTGATGTATTATCGCTGTCTCAGCATGCAGAGGTTTACTAAAGAAGCTAAGGCTGTTTAAATTAGAGCTAGAGATAAGGACTATCAATAACTATCTTCTATATTAAAATGAGAATTATATTTTCCATATAGCCTGTGGTAACCCGAGTGAGGTACTGATCTAAAATATATATTAGCTTGGCATTCCTATCAGTAGAAGTTCTAAAGGGGAAAACCATTCATGAATAATTAATGAAGTTCAATTGCTTCAGTTTATCATGATTTGTTCAAGGATGTCTAAATGAGTCTATTTTAAATGATGGATCATCATTTCAGAAACATATTTTAATAAAACTTCAATGCTAGAATGGTTCCAAGCAAAAGGTTCTACTGAATTGCATACTGACATTCTTTTAGTAACATATAGCAAGAGCTACAAAAATGTTGAAATTCTCAACCCAGTTATCCCGTTTGTAATTTAAACCTTAATAAATAATTCGTAAGCAAAAAACAAAGCCGAATACCTAACAATACTTCTCTGTATTATTATTTACAATGGTAAAAAATGGAAAATAGCCTACATGTTCAGTTATGGGGAGCTGTATATTAAATAAGCATTAAAAATTTCAAAGACAAAGATCACGTAGCTACATGGAAAGATACTTATGATAAAATGTTAGGTGAGACTGTGAAGAAACTGAAATAATAACATGTATTTCCAATTCCTTAAACATATAAAGTATAATCGACAGATATATACATTGGTATAACTATGCCATACTTTCAAATGGCATTAACTGGATTTCATCAGTAACAAAAGGACTATCATGTAAATATTCACTTGACAAATTATTTGTTGATATATCTATTTCAGAATAATGCCCATTCCATTGTAGTATAATTTACATTAAGTGAAAATTGAGTTTTTCAACAACTTATGAAATACTACTGAACTCAATCAAGGTTGAATACAAAGTATTTTTCAAAGGTATTAATTTGGTTTTGAAGCAGCTACTTTAGCAGATCTCAATGTTTTTTATAAGTCTTCTAGATTGAGAAAGACAATTTTAAGTTTTAAAATTAAATGTTTTTATTTGTGTCATAAATTCGAAATGACAATAAATAGTTGTAATGATACAACCAGTCTTAAGACTTTTTTAGAGGTTATATGACTTGCTCCAGGTCATGTTCAGTGGCAGGGAGAATGAGAAAACAGGTTTCCAGATTCATGGATCCTGGGGAGGACTCCTCATCCTTTACCACTTGTATTCGTGCAGGATCAGTGAACGTCCCCAGTCCATGCACTATTCACTGATTGGACTCACTGGCGTGGTATTATGCTGTATATTTTAAATCCATATTAAAATACACACAACTATCATGCTACCAAACACTTGCTAGCACTGTGCCCTTTCCCCCTTTGGAATAGTCTTTGGAATAGTTTTTTTTTTTTTTTTTGAGACGGAGTCTGGCTCTGTCGCCCGGGCTGGAGTGCAGTGGCCGGATCTCAGATCATTGCAAGCTCCGCCTCCCGGGTTTACGCCATTCTCCTGCCTCAGCCTCCCGAGTAGCTGGGACTACAGGCGCCCGCCACCTCGCCCGGCTAGTTTTTTGTATTTTTTAGTAGAGACGGGGTTTCACCGTGTTAGCCAGGATGGTCTCGATCTCCTGACCTCGTGATCCGCCCGTCTCGGCCTCCCAAAGTGCTGGGATTACAGGCTTGAGCCACCGCGCCCGGCCTGGAATAGTTTTTAAGCAAATGAAATTATGGAGGGATTTATTTAAATTGAAGATTGAATTTTGCAATACATTTTCATTTGGTTCCCATAGCAACAATTCAAATCAGACAATCTGCCTCTAAATTACTTATTGTTATTAGAATTCAATTTCATGTCTCTGTTAAAACTGAATAATGTTAAATAATGGCCTTGAGAAAAAAAATCTACCACAACTAATTGGCTATGAAAATAGCTTTAAAAACATCCAGCTAATTTAAATTTAATTTCTGTGTAAGCCTTAAAGCAGCAAGCGTGCCTCTACTGTAAACAACAGGAGTGACCTAAATGCATACAAATGTTTTCACCTGAATAAAACTCCTTCCTAGAAAAAAGATGATTATTCAAATTATAAACTGATTATGAAGAAAAAAATCCAACTTTATACTCGTCTCATTCAAAAAAGTAGTTGAAATCGCAGGTATATGGTTAAAATGAGAATCTACAAAGAATGATAAAGACTGAGGAAAAAAACATTTCAATGGACTTAATTTTTAAAACGTCAACATAATAGCACACTAGGGCTATATATTATTGTCCTATTGTACAATCTCTTATTTTTCCAGTTGAGGCTCTGTGACTATCATAAACAAGAAACATTCCTGAGAAAATGATTACACCACAGGGAGGAAAACCAATCATAAAGGCTGTGGTTTTGTGAGTGCTTTTGTTCCCTCTCATAAATTTCTATTGTGTTGGATAGAGGAAATCTATATAATGATGATGACAACAATGGAATGAGACTCACTGACTGGATATATGACATGCCAATCAATGTTCTGACTGCTAAACTTCTGTTAACTCATCTAATCCTCACACCAAGCTCAAGAAGTAGACAGAATTGATCTTCCCAATAGTTTGTAAATACCTATTCTTAAAATTTTTCAAAATCTCTATTTCTCTAATGAAAGATTCCTAAAGCACTCTCAATCTTTTCATATCCCAACTCAATGGAACAATGAAGGAGAGGGTAGGCAAAATAACATTTCCTAAATGCTGATAAAATCAGTAATATCCACAACTGTACACATGTATGTGAATGTCCACATTTTTTCTTCTCTTAGAAACTGTATTGCCCTAAACTGAAGCATTTAAAGCAACATTTTTCAGTCATTGCTCAGGTGTGAAGAACTAACTGTTACAGTGTGGCAACATGAACATTCCTCAAAAACCCATGCACCCTCCCTTGCCTGCACCCTTCTACTGTTAAGACCATACAGGGTGGTCCTAACACTATGCTCTCAACATGACCTTATTTTCTTACTCTCCTAGGTCAACCCATTTTTTAACTTTTAAGTTCAGGGGTACATGTGAAGATTTGCTATACAGGTACACTTCTATCATGGGGGTTTGTACAGATTATTTCGTTTTATTATCCTTCAGGCTACTGAATCAGAACCTCCTCTATGATTTATTGAGCACATAATTTGCTATAATGAATAAAAACATCATTATACATGGCTGTAAATACTTTATACATAGTCAGATTTATCCTTAACAAAAAGCCTCCCATTCATCCTCTACCAATATGCTGCAACCTCTGTCACCAATTTCTATCAGTGAATACAGTCCTGAAATTCATCTATGTGCAGCAAAGTAAAATGTTTGGGGAGAGTCCTATTTTAAAAAGCAGCAAATCTGAAAATCTTAATGGAACAGGCCTAGGCCACTGTTCTGTTTCCCAGGGACTGCTTTAGGGCTTGATTCATACACCCAGGAGAAGTATTACTCGGTGCTTTCCCATTATAACTCAATGAAAATATGACACACTAGGCAATGAAACTCAATCTCAAGACATGTGGCAGAGCCATGGGAAAACAGTAACATGTAGATAAGCCTGCAACAATAAGAAATATGCATTTGAAGGATACTTTCAAAAAATACATACCATAGTATAATTGTGAGCCACTTTATGCAAATCTGTACAACCTTGGGCATCGGCAAAAGAACGAATTCCAAGACAGTTGGATGGATGAAGCTGTTTCATTAAAAACTTACAGCATGCTTCTACAACCTGTGAAAGCTGAAGAAGGCAAGCTGTAGATAACAGGCACTCAATATTATCTTCTTTTAATTCAAGGCGGCCTTAATGATAAAAAGAAATTCCATTAGCTATGGAACTACATTAACCTTATTTTATAAAATAACTGATGTTAACAGTGGTGGTTCCATGTAAGAGCTCATTACATGCATTACTGACCTACATGGTTTAAGACATCCCAAAACGAAAAAAAGGACTAAATGGAGAAAAAATTATTAGCTCCTTTAGACATCTACTAAAATAAAAACTAATGGCTTATTTTCAGAATTTTAAAATGATACATTAGTTAGTAACTTAGTAACTTACATCTACTATATACCTGTGTAACTCTCAATTTTTTTTTTTTTTTTTTTTTTGAGACAGGGTCTTTTCTATTGTCCAGGCTGGAGTGCAGTGGTGTAACCAATGGCTCACTGCAGCATTGAAATCCTGGGCTCAAGCGATCATCTGTCCCGCCTCAGCTTCCCGAAGTGCTGGGGTTTACAGGTGTAAGCCACTGCATCTGGCCAACTCTCAAATTTTAAATGTAAAAATCTGACACTACACAATTAATTTAATTTTTATATTAGCATTTTAAAGGGCCATTCAAAAACTTAATTATGATAACAATTTTAAAGGCTTTAATATGGAGATTTTAATTTATCACCAGGTTAAATACAAAAGGGTAGTGATGACAATGGCAGACTTAACTGTTAGCTATCGCATGCTTTCTAAAAACAGAAATCCGAAATCTAATAATACAACATAAATCTAAGAGGTTTTAATTTACATTTTCAGACTTGTTACCTGTATAAGCATACTGGATCAAGGACCACAATGAATTTGGTTCTACACCTTCCATTTTTATTTCTTCTTGTCTTGCTTCTCTGACATCATTAGTAAACATGGCAGCAAAATAGTCTGAGACAGAGGAGAGCACCAATCTGAGAACACATTAGGAAAAAAAAAATCAACGACCACATTCAAGTTGATGTTCATTAATAAATGCTGCTGCTTCTTTTTTTATTTGTTACTCATAGTGCATGGTACTAGGAAATGCGTTTTAAGCTTGACAAATTGCTTTATGCTCTAGTTCCTTCCTTTGAATAATAAATTACCATTACCAAATTTTCTGCTAAGGTGAATGCTTTACCAGCTCACTACTCAAATCATGCTTTATAACATCCAGAAAACAAGCTACAAGCCCATAGCATCAAATCAACTATATAAAGGAAAAAATGTAAAAGTTATTGTTTGCTTATCACTTTTGAAAATAAAGTAAGCCATTTTAAAAAAATTTAATTATAGAGTAGTGAATATATAGGAGACATTTGAAAATGGTTTTTGCTAGCAAGTTTTAAACTTTTGTAATAGTCTATTATTATCTTAGTCTGCATTTTGTTAAAAATTATGTTGTAATAACACTATAAAACTATATTTTTTATAATACAATTATAAAATATATTAGCTATGTCTCTAAGTTTTTGATGGTCATATATAATACATTTAAATTATAATTTTTTTTTTTTTTTTTGAGACAGAGTCTCATTCTGTCTCCTAGGCTGGAGTGCTGTGATCTCGGCTCACTGCAACCTCTGTTTCCCAGGTTCAAGCAATTCTCCTGCCTTGGCCTCCCGAGTAGCTGGGATTACAGAGATGGCCACCATGTCCAGCTAAGTTTTTTATTTTTAGTAGAGACGGAGTTTTGCCATGATGGCCAGGTTGGTCTTGAACTCCTGGCCTTAAGTGATCAGCCCGTCTGGGCCTCCCAAAGAGCTGGGATTATAGGCATGAGTCAAGGCACCCGGCCTTATTTTTGAAACAGGCATTTTTTCACTGGATAATGTCTTGAAGACATTTCCATGTCAGCACACTTAAATAGATTTTAAATAAGTATTTTCATTTTTAAAAGTAATAAGGATTATGATACAGATAATCATTGGGTACCTCTCTAATTCCATTTTCTTACTTCTCCAGGAGTGGCATTGCTGAGTCATAAGATTTGCCAAAGTAAGGTACCAATTTAGACCCCACCAGCACTGTATAAGGCTAACATTTTCCCCATAATATTATCAGATGTTAAAATTTTTGGCTATCTATGTAGTGTTAAATGCTATCTCATTGTTGTTTCAATTTTCATTTATCTGATCTCTAGTGAGGTTTTTCAAATGCTTATTGGCCACCAGTTGCTTCTTCAGAAAATTGCCTATTCATTCATTCATTCATTCATTCAATGAACAAATACTGATGTGTGTCCAATAAGTACTGGGTACTGTTCTAGATACTTGAGATACATCAGGGTACAAAATAAGACAAAAGACCCCTTCCCTTGTGGAGTCTTATATTTAGAGGGTAGGGAGAAGTAAATTCTATAGTATATTAACAGGTGATAAGTGCTAAGGGGAAAAAAAGTAGGGCAAAGGCAAATGGGGAAAGGGTGGTGAGTTTAAATAGGTGGTCTCACTGGAAAGTGACATGGGAAAAGATCTGAAGGAGGTTTAGGATTTGGTCATGCAGGTAACTGGGAATAGCCTTCAGGCAGAAGAAATAGTGCAAAAATCCAAAGGCAGGAGCAGCATGCCAGGCACATGCAAGGAACTACAAGAGGTTGAGTGGCTGATGCTGACTGAGCAAGACAGAGACCAACAGGACAATACTAGAGCGATACGGCAGGCTGGATCGCATACGCCATTGCATGTACTTCATCTTTCACACCCAGTGACATGAGGAGTCAATGAAAGATTCGATCAAAGAAATGACTGAATCTGTGTTCCACTTTAAAGGATCACCCAGGTAGCTATGTTAAAACAGAATGTAGGGGCAAAGAGTGGAGGCAGGGAGACCAGTTGGGAGGCTTTTGCATCAGTCATCTAAGTGAGATGTTGATGGCTCACACAAGCATGGCAGGTAAGGTAATGAGTTCAGTTTTGGAAATACAGAATTTGAGGCGCTTCTATGAAATTCGGGTTGAAACAGCTTTTCTAACAAACCCATGTTCATAACCTGGACTTTCTGTCACAGTATATAGTAGTATCTCAATAAATGAATGCTAATTGAGTCACTGAAAACTGTAATACCAAGCCAATTCTTCCTAATGATTTTATTTCCACTTCGGAAAGTTTTTTATTTTTTTTTTATTTCAATAGGTTTTTGGGCAATGGGTAGTGTTTTGTTACATGAATAGTTCTTTAGTGGTAATTTCTGAGATTTTGGTGCACCCATCCCCCAAGCAGAGTACACTGTACCCAATGTGTAGTCTTTTATCCCTTACTCCCCTCCCACCCTATCCCCTAAGTCCCCAAAGTCCATTGTATCATTCTTTTTGGGGGGGGGGCGGGGGAGACAGAGTCTCACTCTGTCGCCCAGGCTGGAGTGCAGTGGCATGATCTTGGCTCACTGCATCCTCTGCCTCCCAGAATCAAGCAATACTCATAACTCAGCCTCCCAAGTGGCTGGACTACAGGTTCACGCCACTACGCCTGGCTAGTTTTTAGTGGAGACGGGGCTTTGCCATGTTGGCCAGGCTGGTCTGGAACTCCTGGCCTCAAGTGATCCACCTCAGCCTTCCAAAGTGCTAGGATTACAGGTCCTGAGCCACCATGCTCGGCCCATTGTATCATTCTTTTTTTTTTTTTTTTTTTTTGAGACAAAGTCTCACTCTGTCGCCCAGGCTGGAGTGCAGTGGCATGATCTCGGTTCACTGCAACCTCCATCGTCTGGGTTCAAGCAATTCTCCTGCCTCGGCCTCCTGAGTAGTTGAGATTACAGGCACCTGCCACCACGCCTGGCTAATTTTTGTATTTTTAGTAAAGATGGTGTTTCACCATCTTGATCAGGCTGGTCTTGAACTTCTGACCTCGTGATCCACCTGCCTCAGCCTCCCAAAGTGCTGGGATTACAGATGTGAGCCATCACGCCTGGCCTCACTGTATCATTCTTATGCCTTTGCATCCTCATAGCTTAGCCCCCACTTATGAGTGAGAACATATGATGTTTGGTTTTCCATTCTTGAGTTACTTCACTTAAGTCTCCAGTTCCATCCAGGTTGCTGAGAATCCCATTATTTCATTCCTTTTTATGGGTGAGTAGTATTCCATGATATATGCCCACTCTTTATCCACTCGTTGATTGATAGGCATTTGGGCTGGTTCTATATTTTTGCAATTGAAAACTGTGCTGCTATAAACCTGTGTGCAAATATCTTTTTCATAACTTCTTTTCTTCTCAATTGATAGCTGGTATTGCTGGATCAATTGGTAGATCTACTTTTAGTTTTTTTTGTTTTTTTTTTTACTTTTAGTTCTTTAAGGAATCTCCACTGTTTTCTGTAGTGTTTGTACTAGTGTGCATTCCTGCCAACAGTGTAAAAGTGTTCCCTTTTCAGCAATATCTATGCCACATTGATTATTTTTTGATTTTATGACCGTGGCCATTCTTGCAAGAGTAAGGTGGTATTGCATTGTGGTTCTGATTTGCACTCCCTGATCATTAGTGACGTTAACCACGTTTTCATATGTTTGTTAGCCATTTGTGTATCTTCTTTTGAGAACTATCTATTTATGTCCTTAGCCCACTTTTTGATGGGACTGTTTTTGTTTTTGTTTTTGTTTCTTTTCTGATTTGAGCTTTTTGGTAGATTCTGGATATTAGTCCTTTGTTAGATGTACAGATTGTGAAGATTTTCTCACTCTCTGTGGGTTGTCTGTTAACTCACAGACATTCTTTCTTTTGCTGTGCAGAAGTTTTTTAGTTTAATTAAGTCCCATCTATTTATCTTTGTTTTTGTTGCATTTGCTTTTGGGTTCTTGGTCATGAAGTCTTTGCCTAAGCCAACGTCTAGAAGGCTTTTCCCAATGTTATCTCACTTCGGAAGTTTTTTTTTTTTTTAAAAAAAACCTTTGGGACAGAGTGTTAATTAGTTTTGAAGGGCATCCAGAAAAGAAAAAAACCTTTGAGAATCATAGTGGTGATTAACAATGAACAATTGAATACAGAATTATAAGAAAATGAATTATTTTTTATTAAACAGTTCTTTTCCTTTTCTTACTTCAAGAAATAATATGTAATTTGTAGTAAAGGCTTTTTTTCCCTAGCACTGCTTTTCATACTTCTTGGAAATCAGCAAACAGAAATTGGGATAGATATGTCTATTTTAAAAACTCTAAGACTTTGTGCTACTCCACTTCACCAGCTTTTCTTCTAAATCCACAAGCTTTAACTGCCATTGAGTTTACTTAAAGTATTTAATAGGTAGAATATTGCACAAAAGCTTCTTATAGTAGCTGAAGTCTATACCAAACAGTACCAACTTATCTGAGGCTAGTATGTTTTGTTATTGTGCTTCTACGGCAGGACAATGACCCTTTTAGGATCACCAAACATGTAATAATTTCATATGCACTGTTTTCTTGATGGAAATTCCATGAAGATGGAAATTCCTCTTCCCCAAAACATAATAGTCAATTGAAGTAGGTTACCACAATATACATATCTAAATTACCGAGGAAATACTTAACACATACAGAAATACAGAAAACAACTACCTGTGAGCTGGAATTCTGCGATCACCAGCGACCAAAATTACATCGCACAACTGTTTATGTCTCAAATAGTTTTCCATTTTTTTAAATGTTTGTTCAGCATGATTAAGGGCTTGGAAAAATTCATCTGATGAACATGGCTCCATAGTATGACAGGATGATAATGTCTGACTACTATTGGAAGTCCTGAAAAGAAAAAAAATACACATTTTGAAATATCACTGTCACATTAAAAAGATCTTTGCTATTAAGTCCTTTGAAAGCCTTCAAATGTAATAGAAGAAATCATGCTACCTATCAATATTAATGTATAATCATTCATTTTAGTCTCTTAAAAATCAATGATGCCTTAAGTCATATGATTCCTGTAAACACTGTAAGTGAATTTAAACTGTTAATTAATTGCTACACGTATTCTTTGTAGTATCTTTTTGTGAGGTCTTTTGTCTGTTAAAGCCAATGTCTCTGCTGAAAAAGAGCGAGCTATATTCATATTGATAACCGTATCTCCTAACATTGTATTTAAGGATATAAGAGATAACTCATCTTTGAAGGCAGAAAGGCAATTAAATTATTTTGGAGATACAAATTCAAGTCAAGTTCATTAAAAAATATATTGTCATAAAAATAGTGTTATAAATAATTCTTTTGGTTCTCTGTCCAGTCCTCAAAAGCCCAGGTAAGCTATAACTTATATTACAGGTTGAAAGAATTTGATAGCCTAATACAGCTGTCTAAAAAATCATTTGAAATTTCTAAATTATAATTTGAAGAGTATGAGTTCTGAGTTCTATGTTCTGTTTTCTTTCTTTCTTTCTTTCTTTTTTTTTTTTTTGATGGAATTTCACTCTTGTTGCCCAGAATGGAGTGCAATGGTGTGATCTCGGCTCACCGCAACCTCCACTTCCTGGGTTCAAGCAATTCTCCTGCCTCAGCCTCCTAAGTAGCTGAGATTACAAGCATGCACCACCATGCCCGGCTACTTTTGTATTTTTAGTAGAGATGGGGTTTCTCCATGTTGGTCAGGCTGGTCTCGAACTCCTGACCTCAGGAGATCTGCCTGCCTCAGCCTCCCAAAGTGCTGGAATTACAGGCATGAGCCACCGCACCTGGCCTTATGTTCCATTTTCATATGATTTACTGATAAAAACTGTGAAAAAGCGAAAAGGTTAGGACTAAGAATGAAGTCCTGAGCACACATTCCTCCTCACTCTTACCCCCAGTTCTCCTCTCCAGGATCACTTAAATCAAGTAATTAAATTAAATTAATTAAAGTCGGTTGGTTATGCAATTAACTGTAAAACCACTGACTGTGCCATAACTTAGTTCTCATTTCTCATCAGATCTTCTTTTAGGGATATTATGGTTGTGATATATGCTTTGTTGAATCAAGTCCCACTATATCTTAAGATAATCTTGTTAATATAACTAATAACCTTATCAGAAAAGAAAAAGTCATCATATTTCTTACTTTTAAAGTAAAGGGAACTGAAGCCAAGGAGATTAAGTGCCTTGCCAAGAGTCAGAGTTCATTCATGGCAGAGATAGGGCTATCACAGAAACTGCTATGTGTTCACCAAAACATCCCCTTTTCCCCCTGAGAATATAGCTAAACTACATTTCCCAGCCCCTCTTGCAAATAGGTGTGTTCTTATGGAAATGAACTATTACATCACACAGTTCACCTTAAAGTGGCTAAGAACAGGTATGGCTTTTGTGTATTTTCTTTCTCTATCCATAGGTTGAAGGGAGAGGACTGAAGACTTAGAAAAAGGAAGAAGTAAAATACACAAAAGATCACTAAAGCAAGAACATTCACATTGAACTAAGATTTATCTGTTTTAGAAGTTAACAATGCCTTAACTGATAAATATTCTTTCCTAAATCCTCCTAGTCTGATGTATTTTCAGTACCATACAAACATGGGCATCAGATAAATGCCCTTGGAAGATAATTGTCAGTAATGACAACAGAAGTCAAACGTATATTGTCTAGAAAGGATGTGTTGTACACTATGAATATTACTGGTGTAATGACTTGGAAAATTCAAGTCAAGTAATACTCGACTTCACATTTAAGATCGTTATTATAAAAATGGGTTGAATAGTATGTAATTACATATTGTTTATACAAATAAAGGAGAATTAGAAACTATTTTAAAATTTAGGAGACAGCATAACATAAGCAAAAAAAAAATGGTGGTTTTGATGAATAATAATTTGAAGATTTTGCAGTGGCTCACGCCTGTAATCCCAGCACTCTGGGAGGCTGAGGCGGGTGGATCACAAGGTCAGGAGATTGAGGCCATCCTGGCTAATATGGTGAAATCCTGTCTCTACTAAAAATACAAAAAAAAAAAAAAAAAAAATTTAGTTGGGCATGGTGGTACACGCCTGTAGTCCCGCTACTCGGGGGACTGAGGCAGGAGAATCGTTTGAACCCAGGAGGTGGAGGTTACAGTGAACCGAGATCACGCCATTGTACTCCAGCCTCGGCGACAGAGCGAGACTCCATCTCAAAAAAAAAAAAAAAAAAAAAAGAATATTTAAAATATTTTTTGATAAAGTTTTATACTGTTAAAATACTGACAAATGATTATAAGAGCATTAGTGACCTGAGGAGGGGAAAAAATTATAGTATCTAATTTTTATAAGCCATAAATTCAAGAACAAGTAAATAAATCAAGTACTTCTTTCTTAAGGCTCCTGTATTTTGTATCACATTTCTTGTACTTCATATCAAATTACAAGTAATGATTAAATAAATAAATTAGTTGAATATTTCTTGAGTGATGAACTGCCATCAACTAACACAGATGCTAATCAATGTTAAAGTTCTGAAAGAACAATAGAACTTTGTAATACTATCATCATTGTTATTATAGGCTACTTCTGATGTTGGCATATGCCCAGTTAATAATTTTCTTGTCAAGAACTTTCAGAGTATTTTGGTTCAGATGCTGAAACAAGTCAGGATAACCGGGCAGCATTTCAGTCTCAGTGTTCAAGGCCTCATACCCTGAGACTGATTCAATAGGTCTGAGGTGAGATTTGAACATCATATTTTAAAAATAATTTTATTTTCAATATTATTGACAAATAACAATTGTATATATTTATAGGGTATAATGTGAAGTTTTGATACGTGTATATGTGGTGAACTGCTAAAATCAGGGTAATTAACAAATTCATTACCTTTAATATTTATCAATTCTTTATGGTGAAAAACATGTAGAGCCCTCTCTTTTAGCTATTTAAAGCCCTCTCTTTTAGCTATTAACCATAGTCACCTTCCTGTGTTCTAGCACATGAGAACTTGTTCCTCCTAATTGTAACTGTGCACACTGACCCAAGTCTCTCTTTGGCACTCCCCACCCTCAGCCTCTGGTAAGCACCTCTGGTAAGACTTCCTTACTCTTTTTTCTCCTATTACATCTTTTGTTTAGCATGTAATAGGAAAAGAGAATTAAGGAGGTATTGGTGAGCGATTAAGCACATTTTAGGAAGTTCTAGAGCTGTGCTGTCCAATACAGTAGCCACTAGCCCCATGAGGCTCTTTTAATTTAAATAAAAATTTTTAATTCAGTTCTTTAGTTGGACTAGTCGTATTTCGAGTGTTCAACAGTCTCTTGGGGCTGGTGGCTACCAAATAGGATGGTACAGATATGGAACATTTCCATCAATGCTGAAAGTTCCATTGTGCAGTGCTGGTCTAGAGTCCTATAGACCTGGGTTCAACTCTCACTCTGTCACTCACTATGTATAATTCTGGACAAGTTATTTAACTTCTCTAAGGCTTACTTTCTTTAACAGCACAACAGAAATAATACATAGTGCTGTCTTTTAGGGGATCCCTCAAGAGAGGATTATTAAATGATATAATGCATGCACAGCCCTAGGGCAGATTAGTACACAATCGAGGAAAGCTACTGTTAGTAGAACCCTACTTTTCAGTGGCCAATGGGAAGGCCTGTAATTATAGTCTTTTGTCTTTATATAATGTTGTTTGGATGGTTGTCTTTTTTAAAAAAATGATCCCTGGTATTATCATTTTTCATAACTAAATTTCATACTTCTTATTTAAAATGGCTTTTAGTAAACATCCTAACCCACAACACAAATATCCAGGAATAGGCCATTCCTGAAGCATTTAAAATATATTTCTCTCTGATTTCTACTTGATCTTTTACATAACAACAGAGGAAATACATCTAACATCTCTGCTTAGTTTTACTTATATGATACCACTAAGATAGTAAATCGTATTTCAAAAAATTACATAAGATCATTCAAATCTTTTATATTAGACTTTCACTGTAATGAATACATTGCTCAATATTTCTAGTCTACAGGGAAACATTTAATTTGTAGCTTATGTCTTTCTCTGCAATAGGCAATGAATTTTAAAGTCAGAAAAATGCCTAAACATAGAAAAGAGGCAAGTATCAAATAGAAACAAGTCACTAACTATTCACCGAGCAACTACTCTGCATTGCACCAGTTAGAAACTGGGGGAATGCTAAGAAAGATATTATTCCCTAGTGAAGGGACTTGGAATTTGAAGAGTCAACCTCCATATCTGGAAAAAGTGAATTAGCAACTCTAACCCTTGTAATTCCCCAGATTTTACATGTGCTTACATGTACATGTGCTCACACAATATTCACCATGACCAATACACCTTTTTATTATAAACTATTTAGATCCTTTTACTTTTATCGCCAGAATTGACACTAGAATTTCTTAACGGAGTAATTTTTCAAAAGAAGTTTTACAAATTAATTTATAAAAGTTATACTGTCTATGATTATGAGTAGGAAAAAAAGCTCTTTTGAAACTGTAAAGAGTCTGTTTGGCTCACTCTCTAGGGAAGTGATTTACTCCTAGTTTGTGGCATTCGGAACTCATGTTTTTGCAGAAGTGTGCTTACTATATTACGAATCTTTTGTCATCTTTTACAAATATTCAAAACTACAAGGTGCAAGGTATAGGCTAGCAGTCTCTACATTTGATACATATCCTTTTCAGTATACTTTTAAGCATGTGCCCAAATATATATATACTAATTTATAAAAGATATAGATGCCATTGTACAATTTTTATATAATATACAGACAAAAATAGAAATTTAAAAGACAAAACGTAAACAGAAGCTTTTATATATATTTTTAACCATTACTCCAATTG